AGCAAATAGTGCCATTTCTTAGCAGCAAGTGCAGCAAATAGTGCCATTTCTTAGCAGCAACTGCAGCAAATAGTGCCATTTCTTAGCAGCAAGTGCAGCAAATAGTGCCATTTCTTAGCAGCAAGTGCAGCAAATAGTGTCACTTCTTGTCCTAATAGTTGCCAGGCTGCTCCGGCGGCCTTATTGCTCCTCAGCTGCAGCTCTTCAGGCAGCAGCAGCAGCAGCAACAGCAGCAGCAGCAGCAGACAGAAGCCGTTCTTTGCAGCTCTCCAGAGGCTGAGTTCAACTTTCTTTTTAATTAAAATAAAAGTGCAGCACAGAGTATTACTGGAAATGCAGACAGAGTCGAATCTGTCGGCGCTTTCCGCGGGAAGCTGGGGTGTACGTACACCTCAGGTTGCAGTGCACTGCGCGGGCTGCGCGCGGCTGTTTGGCATTTCAACTTTTTTTGCACTTTTTGGAATAAGAAGCGAACTTAGGACTTTTTAAAGTGCATTTTGCAAAATAAAAAGCAAAATTTGTTCACTTTAATGAAACTGAAGAAGATCTGCGTTTGAAATGCCCGGCAGTGCAGCAGCAGCTCGGCAGGGCAGCCTGGCTCGCACTTTGGCGCGCCCGCGGAGCCGCGGGCTGCTGCTGCAGCACTGCTGCTGCTGCGCTGCTGCTGCTCCGCCGCTGCTGCTGCACCGCAGCAGCAGCAGCAGCAGCAGCAGCAGCAGCAGCAGACCACTGGTCCCAGTGGTCTGGTCCACTGGCCGCCCCCCTCCCCCCGGGCTTCCCGGCGTCGCCCGAAAGCCGCGTTTCCCGCCGCCGCCGCAGCAGCCGCAGCAGCAGCAGCAGCAGCAGCAGCAGCAGCAGCAGCAGCAGGTCAGCGAGAAAAGTCCAAAGTGGTGTGGGGCCGGCCCCAAGAATCCTTATAACGAGCCACTTCGTAAGGAGTGAAGGTCTCTTCTGCTGCTGCGCATTCGCAGGGGTCGACTCTGGTGACGAAGGCGTTGGACCACTCGGGGAAGACATCTCCGGGTTTTCTTTTTCGAAAAACACTTCGGAGTTGAATTGGAATTGTTTGAAAAGCTTTCGAAGTTCCAAACAAAGCTTGCGAAACTGCAGCAACTCCCGAGTCCCAGCCGTCGGAAAAGGGCACTCCGAAGTGGAGGGGCCCGGGGGGCCCCGGGCGGTAGGCGTGGGGCCCCTGCTGCGGCAGTTCGCGCGGCGCTGCTGCTGCTGCTGCTGCTGCAGCAGCAGCAGCAGCAGCTTCCGCCCGCCGCCGCGCTGCGAAAAACTCCTGCGCTTTGCCCTCCAGCGGAGGCCCCGGCAGCTCTTGGAAGCTGCCGTAGAAGCCGGGGTTTGCGCCGGGGCTGGCCCGCTGCAGCTCCTGCTGCAGCATTTTCGAACTTGGGAAAAGCTGCAGCACAAAGCCACACACAGCTGCTGCTGCTGTCAGCTGCTGCTGCTGCTGCCAGCTGCTGCTGCTGCTCCCCGCAGCACACAAAACCACCCGCAGAAGCAGCAGCCACCACCCAACCAAGCCCAAAAAGCAGCTCCTCAGCAAACGCCCTCGCGCTGCAGCAGCAGCAGCAGCAGCAGCAGCAGCAGCAGCAGCAGCAGCGGGAGAGGAAGCTGCCACGCAGGTGCTGCGCAAAAGCTCGGATTTGCTTCCAAGAGTGAACTGCTGTTTGTCTGAATTGAAAAGAAAAAGCTTTCAGTGGTCTGGACCACCGGCGGGTTTGCTGCGAGCTGCTGCAGTGGACCGCTGCAGCGGGAAACTGAGCTGCTGCTGCAGCAAAACGAAATGAACTCACCAAATGAGAAAACTTCTTGAAAGGAAAAACCCGAAATTAGTGAAAATACCTCTTTACAGTTCTGCTTTCCCTGGATTTCAACCAGCTGCAGCGGCAGTGCAGCAGCAGCAGCAGCCGCCAGCCGCAGCAGCAGCAGCAGCAGCAACAGCACCAGTCGGTCGAGCGCCTGTCTAGCAGGCTGGCCCGCCGGCTTTCGCCGTTCAAATTGTTCAAAAAGAATTTATTTTAGTTTTGAATTCTTTTTAATTCCATTTAAAACAAAAATTCAACTTTTTCCGAGCCAAATTGGGTTTGCACCGCCAGCGCTCTCGATCTTCTGCCAGCCTGGTGGCACGACACCGCAGCTCGAAGCTGCCCAGCTTCTTCGTTTCTTTTCATTTATTTATTTTCATTTATTTATTTTCTTTTATTTCTTTTCATTTATTTCTTTTCATTTATTTCTTTTTCTTTATTTCATTCAAACTACTTCTCGAGTGTATGCCCCGCGCGGTGGCCTCGCCCGCCCCGCCCCGCACACGGCGATGTTCAACTTCGCCAGAGGCCGCGCAAATGCAAAAAGGTTTTATATTTGAACAAATTGTTTTATTTTTATTTATTTTTTAATTTTAATTTTTCATTTTTATTTCAAAAATGCGGAAATCAATCCATAAAGCGAAACACAACGTTACTTGCACACTCCCACCCACACCCACACACAGATCTGCTGCTGCTGCTGCCGCTGCTGCTGCTGCTGCTGCTGCTGCTGCTGCAGCTGCTGCTGCTGCTGCTTTCAAATTGAGACTTTTAATTTTATTGCAAATTATTTTTAAATTTAAATTTGAAATATCCCAAAAGAAATAAAACCCAAAAGCTTTAAAGCTGGCCTGCAGCCACGCCTGGGGAACTGCCCCACACGCCATTGGCAGTTTCACCCGCTCCAGCCAGCCACAGCTAGCTACAGCCAGCCACAGCTAGCTACAGCCAGCCACATCTAGCTACGGCTAGCCACAGCTAGCCACAGCTAGCTACAGCTAGCCACAGCTAGCTACAGCTAGCCACAGCTAGCTACAGCTAGCCACAGCTAGCTACAGCTAGCCACAGCTAGCTACAGCTAGCTACAGCCAGCCGCAGCTAGCCACAGCTAGCTAGTCACCATAGCTAGCCACGGCTAGCCACAGCTAGCCACAGCTAGACATAGATAGCCACGGCTAGCCGGGGCTAGACACAGCTAGCCACAGCTAGCCACAGCTAGCCACAGCTAGCCACAGCTAGCCACAGCTAGCCACAGCTAGCCACAGCTAGCCACGGCTAACCACGGCTAGCCACAGCTAGCCACGGCTAACCACGGCTAGCTGCAGCTAGCTGGCTGCAGCTAGCTAGCTGCAGCAGGGGATAGCTAGAGGCCGCTAGCTGGCTGTGGCTAGCTAGCTGCAGCAAGTTGGGGCTCCACCTAGCTGCAGCTAGCTGGGGCTTTCTGCAGCAGCTAGCTGTTCCTCTACCTGCGCTGCCTTCCTTCTGCAGCCAACCGCTCTAGGCCGGCTAGTTAGCTAGCTAGCTGGCTAGCTAGTTGGCTAGCCAGCTAGATGGCTAACTAGCCAGCCAGCTAGCTAGCTAGCTGGCTAGCTAGTTAGCTAGCCAGCTAGCTGGCTAACTAGCCAGCTGGCTAGCTAGCTAGCTAGCTAGCTAGCTAGCCAGCTAGCTGGTACATCTGGGGGATTGGAGAACTTGACACGGTGTACATACAGCTAGCTAGCTGCAGCTAGCTGCTGCCAGCTGTAGCTAGCCGCAGCTAGTTGCAGCATCTGGCTAGCTGTAGATAGCTGCAGCATCTGGCTAGCTGGAGCTAGCCATATGCTGCCGCTGCAGCAAGCGGCTGCAGCCCTTTGGCAGCAGCAGGCAGCAGGCCCCGCATCCTGCCTAGCGCTGCGGCTAGCTTGGGCAGCTAGCTAGCTAGCCAGCTAGCTAGCTAGCTAGCTAGCCAGCTAGCTAACAAGCTAGCTAGCCAGCTAGCTAGCTAGCTAGCTAGCCAGCTAGCTAACTAGCTAGCTAGACATCCAGATAGCTAGCTAGCTGGTCCCGTAGCCTGGCTAGCCAGCTAGCTGCGGTGCCCCCGTAGCTAGCTGGGCTGCAGCGCCGCAGCTCTGCAGCTGGCCAGCCCAGCTAGCTGCTCTCTTGAGGGCTAGTAACCGTTTAAGTGTGGCTAGCTAGCTAGCTAGCTAGCTACCTAGCTAGCTAGCTAGCTAGCTAGCTAGCTAGCTACGGCCCCACAGGGGTGCTGCTGCAGCAGGGCCCCTGCGGCGAAAACACAACAACCCCACCCCTCTGGCTGCCAGCGAGTGAGCTGCTGCTATCTTCGCAGCAGCAGCAGCAGCAGCAGCAGCAGCAATTAGAAGTTAATTAATTAATTAATTAAAGTTATTTGGAAGGACTAATTTTGGAAAAGGCAAAGGAGCCGCTACAGGCGCTATCTGGGGCCCCGCAGGCCCCCCGGCGCAGCAACACCTGCTGCTGCTGCTGCTGCTGCTGCTGCTGCTGCTGCTGTTCTTCTTGTCTTCCTCCACTAATTTCGTGTGGCGCTTTTGTTTATTAATTTAAATATTAATTTAGTCATTATGATCTAGTTAAAGCTGCTGCGTTCCCGAGGCTGCAGCAGCAGCCACACCCTCTCGCCCCCCTGGCAGCACCAGCAGCAGCAGCAGCAGCAGCTGCTGCTGCTGCTGCTGCTGCCGCCGCTCTTCTCTCTTCGAGGATCAGCCCAACCTCCTGCTGCTGGAGCTCTAACTCCCCTTTGCTGTGCGCAGAGCAGCAGCAGCAGCAGCAGCAGCAGCAGCAGCAGCAAAAGCTGCAGCAGCAGAGGGCCATGGAAGACCTTAATTTTGGTCCTTCACAAGGCGGAGGGTACAGCAGAGGGGCTGCGAGGCTCTCGCAGTGGGCAGTGCCTGCTGCTGCTGCTGCTGCTGCGCCTGCTGCTGCTGCTGCTGCTGCGCCTGCTGCTGCTGCTGCTGCTGCTGAAGGGCAGGCGGAAGCAGCTGCACAGGCCCTGCTAGTCGCAGCTAGGGGGAGCTTTAGTGCTGCAGCGCTGCAGCAAGCAGCCGAGAAGCTGCGCAGTCTTAGCAGCAGCAGCAGCAGCAGCAACAGCAGCAGCAGCAGCAGCAGCAGCAGAGAAGTGCTGCGGCGAATAGGACCCCAGCTGCTTCCGCGTCCGCCCCTGCTGAGTCCATCTTGCTGCTGCTTAGCCTGCAGCGCAGCACTGCAGCAAGACTTGCCTAAGCTGGAGGCAGCAGCAGCAGCAGCAGCAGCAGCAGCAGCAGAACTGCCAGGTGCAGATGCAGCAGCAGCAGCATGCGCCGAATTCACCGTGGAGCTTCGGCAGCATTTGCTTGCTGCCTTCTCTCTCCCTCCCGTTGCTGCTGCTCGTGCTGCTGCTGCTGCTGCAGCAGCAGCAGAGGGGCCTTCCGCCCCAGTGACTTTACGCGCTGAGCTGTGTTGCAGCAGCAGCAGCAGCAGCAGCAGCAGGTGTTGCTGCTGCCGCACTGGCAGCTCTTTGCGGCTAGTGGTTGATGCAGCTTTGCTGCAGCAGCGGCTTCCTCCTGAACTGCTGCAGCTGCTGCTGCTGCTGCTGAACTTCCCGTTGCTGCTGCCGCGCCTTGCTGAGGCCTACGCAGCAGCAAGCCTGTGCGTCCAGCTGCTGCTGCAGCTGCATGCTTCCGCGCGTAACGCAGCAGCAGCAGCAGCAGCAGCAGGCGCTGCTGCTGCTGCTGCTGCCAGGCTGCCGTCTGCAGCAGCAGCAGAACTCTTGCTAGAGCCGCACCGGAAGACCTGCATCTTTGCGTGCAGCTGCGGCAGCAGCAACAGCAGCAGCAGCAGCAGCGGCGGCAGCAACTGCAGCAGCAGCAGCAGCTGCTGCTGCCCTGGTCTCATTTTGTGGGCAGCTGAGTGGAAGGGCCTTGAAAAGCTGCTGCTGCTGCCTCTCGATTTTGAATTCCTCAGAGCAGCAGCAGCATATATGTGCTGCAGCACTTGCTGCGCTGCTGATGCTGCAGTAGCAGCAGCAGCAGAATCTGAGCAAGTGCCCGCGGCAACAGCAGCAGCAGCGCCTGCAGCAGCAGCAGCAGCAGCGCCTGCAGCAGCAGCAGCAGCAGCAGCAGAACTGTCGCTGCAGCTGCTGCACATCGCTCTGACTTCCTGGCTTATTGGAGCTCCCCTGCTAGCAGCTCTTGCTGCTGCCGGATCGCAGCAAGAGCTGCTTGCTGCAGCTGAGATCTTCGTCACTCCTGCTGCTGCTGCTGCTGCTGCTGCTGCTGCTGCACCTAGCGCGCGGCTGCTGGCTAAAGCCTGTAGCCTCTGGAGCCAAGCCATTCCTGCTGCAGCGGTCTCACTTGAAAGGCAGCAGCAGCAGCAGCAGCAGCAGCGGCTGCAGCAGCTGCTGCAGCTGCTGACGCACCCGCTGCAGCGTCAGGGCCCCATTCCCCTGCTGTTGGCAGCAGCAGCTACTGCTGCTGCTGCTCCGGCCAGGGCTACGGGGCTGCTGCAGCAGCTGCAGCAGAAAGCAGCAGCAGGCCTTGCTGCAGCAGGAAGGCTTTGTATAGGCCTCCTTGCTGCTGCTACTCCTCCCGCTGCTTCTTGCGGCCCAAGCAGCATCCCGGGGCAGCAGCAGCAGCAGCAGCAGCAGCAGCAGCAGCTGGTGCTGCTGCAGCAGCAATCCCGTGTCCCGCTGGCGCTGTGGCGCCTCGCAGAGGCTGCAGCAGAAGCAGAAAGCGCTTCAGGGGCTATTCCTGCTTTAGGTTTTGCTGCTGCTGCTGCTGCTGCTGCTGCTGTCCCTGGGCAGCAGCAGCAGCAGCTGTTGCTGCAGCAGCAGGCAACGGGATATGGGCGCCTCCCCTCAACTTGCAGCAGCAGCATTCAACAACAGCTATGCGGGCTGCTGCTGCAGCAATGCTCAGAGGCAGCAGCAAGTCTGTGCTGTGTCTGCTGCAGCTCCACACAACACGCTGGGCAGCAGCAACAACAGCAGCGGCCGCAGCAGCAGCAGCAGCAGCAGCAGCAGGCGTCGCTGCTGCACCATGCATGCGCACAGACGCGCTTTGCTGCGCAGCTGCTGCTTCGGCTCCTCAACAGCAAAGCAGCTGACAGCTGCTTTATCTTTCAATGCTTTAATGATCAGCAGCAGCAGCAGCAGCTACAGCAGCAGCAGCAGTTACAGCAGCAGCAGCAGCAGCAGCAGCCCTGCGGCCCGCTATACGACATTGCTGCATATTTGTTTCGGCTCACAGAGGCACTTGAGGAGCTTGCGACTCAGCAGCAGCAGCAGCAGCAGCAGCGCCAGCAGCAGCAGCAGCATAAGCTTCAGCAGCAGCAGCAGCCTCCCTGTTTGCCTCCTCGGGCATCTCATTTGCTGCTTGACCCTCTTGCTGCTGCTGCAGTTAAGGAAGCAGCAAAAAGTGTTGCTGCATTCATCGCAGCAGCTGCAAGAGCTGCTCCTTATGATGGTTTGCTGAGGCTGCGCGAGGCCTTAGTTGCTGCTGCTGCTGCTGCTCCTGCTGCTGCTGCTGCTGCTGAGTGCAGCAAGGCAGCAGCTGTCACTCTCTTCTTGAATTTGGTCATAGCAGCAGCAGAGGACGCTCCCGGGGCAGCCACGGGACAAGCAGCAGCAGCAGCAGCTGCTGCTGCAGCTGCTGCTAATGCTGCTGCTGCACCGACAGCGCCTCGCGCTGCTGCTCTGCTGCAAAATGAGCAGCAGCAAAACGGGCAGCAGCAAAACGGGCAGCAGCACAAGCTGCAGCAACTGCTGCTGCGGCATTCCCAGTTGCTGCTGCAGCAAAAGGCGTTGCGTGCAATCGAAGACACCTGCCACGAGTTCCCCTTTGCCACCTGCGCCTTAGGCAGCTCCTCCCCCTCTGCTGCTGCTGCTGCTGCTGCTGCTGCTGCTGCTGCTGCGCAGCCGCGGCAGCAGCTGAACCTGCAGCAAGCGCCACAGCAAATCTGGCAGGGGGAGCTCACGTCGCTGCGACTGGAAGCTGTGGCACTGTGGTTTGCTTCTGCTGCTGCTGCTGCAGCACTTGAGAGCAGCAGCAGCAGCAGCAGCACAATGCCCGACAGGCGCAGGACTGAGCCTGTCGCTGCTGCTGTTGCTGAAGGAGAGAGGCAGCTGCTGCAGCGGCTGCTGCTGTGGTGCTGCAGCAGCCATCCTGCTCTTTCTTGCTTAGGCAGCCGCTGCTGCACTCTGCTAGCGTCCGTAGCTTCAGGCTGCTGGCCCCTGCAGCAGCAGCAGCAGCAGCAGCAGCAGCAGTGGCAGCAGGACTCACAGCAGCACTCACAGTTACAGCAGCAGCAGCAGCAGCAGCAACTGCGGGCTGCAGCTGCGCATGTCTGCGCTTTGCTGTTTGCTGTCGCGAGCCACAGCAAGGCGCCAGGCTGTGGGCGCCCTTCGGTAGCAGCAGCAGCAGCAGCAGCAGCAGCAGCAGCACCGGCAGATGATAGGTTGCTGCAGCTATGTGCTGGAGCAGAGCTTCAGCTTGAGCCCACTGTGCAGCAGCAGCGGCTCTTCCGCTGCTTTGCTGCTGCAGCTCACCAGGCTGTTGTCTTGGAGTACGCACAGCAGCAGCAGCAGCAGCAGCAGCAGCAGCAGCAGCAGCAGCAACTGGCTGCTGGCGGATTTGCCCAGGAACTGCTGCTGCTGCCTCTAGAATACGGCAGTGCCCTGCTGAGACGGCTTTCCTTGGACGAGCCTAGCAGCAGCAGCAGCAGCAACAACAGCAACAGCAGCAGCAGCAGCAGCAGCAGCAGCAGCAGCATGCAACCCGTTTCAGTGCCCATGTGGCTCAGCATGCTGTCCCCCATGTCTGCTGCTGTGCTTCAGTTTCGCGTGTGGCCACGCCCGCCCACAGCAGCAGCAGCAGCAGCAGCAGCAGCAGCAGCAGCAGCAGCAGCAGACACGCTGGAAAACCACTGCCGCCTTATTTTGGAGGCTTTGCTTGATGTGACACAAAAGACAACAGCAGAAAGTTTAAAGACGGGGAGGCCGTTGGCGCTGCTGCTGCAGGAGCATTCTGCTGCTGCCGTTTGCTGATGAACTCTCGCAATTTATAGAGCATTATATCTGCAGCTGCAGCAGGGAGATGGCTGCTGCTGCTCCCCGTCTCTTCTCCTGCGCCATTGCCTTGTCTTGCTGCTGCTGCCCGCCTTTCCCTGTGCAGCAGCCGCAGCAGCAGCAGCAGCTGCTGCTGCAGCAGGAAGCAGCAGCAGCAGTTGCGCGGCTGCAGCAAGTTGTGCAGTCCGCGCTGCCGCACATGCTGCAGCTTCACACGGCGAGAACTGCAGCAGCACTTGTAAAGGGTGAGCGTTAATTGCTGCTGCTGCTTTGCTGCTCTTGCTGCTGCTGCTTTGCTGCTCTTGCTGCTGCTGCTGCTGCTGCTGCTGCTGCTGCTGCTGCTGCATCTGCGGCTGCAGTCTGTGCCTCTGCCTGCAGAATTAGAAAGGGGAGCTCCGCCCCACATCACTGAAGGTATCTCTGCAGCACTGCAGCAGCGGCAGAGAAAGAGCTGCGTGCTGCAGCTGCTGCATGCGCTGCAGCAGCAGCAGCAGCCGCTGCTGCTGCTAAGCCCGTCGCAGCAGCAGCACGTTGCCCACCTCCTCAAGGCCTCCCACATGCTAGGCAGCAAAAATATGGGGAAGTGCTGCGGGCCTCGCCGGCTGCGCCCTTTTGCTGCAGAAGCAGCAGCAGCAGAAAGAGCAGCAGCAGCAGCAGCAGCACCAGAAGCCGAGCTTCTGCTTGGAGCCGACTCAGCAGCAAAAGGCTGCAGTGTCGCAGCGTCCGTTGTTTCCCAGCGGCTGCTGCTGCTGCTGCAGCTGGCGCCTTCTGCTGCTGCCTCCCGAGAACTTGCAGGTAAGTTGCTGCTCTTGCTGCTGCTGCTGCTGCTCTTGCTGCTGCTGCTGCTGCTCTTGCTGCTGCTGCTGCTGCTCTTGCTGCTGCTGCTGCTGCTGGCACTTGCTTTCCTCCACAGCTAGCGGTATTTCTCTCTAAGCCTGCCTAGTCTTCTGGCGGCCGCTTTCATCGGTGCTGCTGCTATGCTGCCGCTGCTGCTGCTGCTGCTGCTGTTGCTGCTGTTGCTGCTACAGATTGCCTTGCACTGCTTCGCTTGGGCTAATTCAACAACTGCGCAGAAGGACAGCGCTGCAGTTGCAGAAGCAGCAGCAGCAGCAGCAGGCGCTGCTGCTGCAGCAGCAGGTGCAGCAGCCGATACAGCAGCAGTAGCAGCAGCTCCCGCTACAGCGATGCAGCATACATGCTGCTGTTGCTGCGGCATCGTCTGCTGCAGCAACTCAGCGGCACCTCGCAGCAGCCGCTGCTGCTGCCGCTACTGCTGCTGTTGCTGCTGCTATGGCTGCTACTGCTGCTGCAATGGCTGCTGCTTATCTGCTGCTGCTGCAGATGCTGCACTCCTACTCATTCACCCCTACACGAGTAACTAAGCCATGGCCTATAATTCTGTGCCGAAGAGCCAGCCTGCTGCCGCTGTTGCTGCTGCTGCTGCTGCTGCTGCTGCTGCTGCTGTTACGTACACCAGACTTCCACGCCTAGGGGAAGTTAACTAAATTAAGTGAAGACAGCAGCAGCAGCAAAAGACGCAAAGACTGCAGCGGCCAATAAACCAGTTCAAAACAAACAAACAGGGCATATTAGAAGAGAAACGCGCCCTGCAACCCAGTTAAAGAGCAGCAGCAGCAGCAGCAGCTGCTGCTGCTGCTGCTGCTGCTGGAGCTGGAATCACAGCAGTACCAGCAACAGCCCACAACGCGCGAGCTCCAGCTGCTGCCGCAGACCTACGGCGGCAGCAGCTGCTGAAGCTGCTGCTGGTGCTCTACTTAACACTTTTGCTGCTGGTCCTGCAGCAGCGCCAGCAGCTGGTCCTGCAGCAGCAGCAGCAGCAGCAGCAACTGCTCTCCACGCCGCCACTACCTACTAAGATCTCTGCTGCAGCACGAGCAGTTTGCTGCTGCTGCTGCTGCTGCTCATAAGCCAACAAATGCGCAGGCAGCAGCTGCTGCGCTTTGGGGGGCGGCCCCGCTTGCTGCCCGCAGAGGAGTGGCAGCAGCTTCTATCTATTTGCTGCAGCGCTGCAGCAGCAGCAGCAGCAGCAGCAGATGCATCTGCTCCCGTGCTGCACGCAGCAGCACGAAGCAAGCTGCAGCAGCTCTCACCTGCTGCTGCTGCAGCTACAGCAGCTCAGTTCATTCCCGTTCAGCCCGGTCTTCTGCTGCAGCTCCTGGCTACGGCTCTGCTGCTGCTGCTGCTGCTGCTGCTGCCGAGCCTCCTGCTGCTGCCCCCTTCCCTCCCATGCAGCTCAAAGTGCTTTTTGCTGCTGCTGGAATTCTGCTGCTGCGCGGCCCCTGGGGGAAGCAGCACTCACAAATGGCCTGCCACAGAAACAAGTCGTCCACGGCGGGCTGCTGCTCCTCCCCCGCTGCTGCTGCTGCTGCTGCTGCTGCTGCTGCTGCTGCTGCTGCTGCTTCTGCTTCGGCCGAGCCCAGCCGCGTGGCCACTGGCAGCCCGCTGCCCTCCTCCAGGTGCTGCAGCTCCACCTCCGCCGTGTCCCGCCGCCGTGCTGCGCTGCTGCTGCTGCTGCTGCTGCTGCTGCTGCTGCTGCTGCTGCTGCTGCGCTGCAGCGCCACAGGCAGCCCGCTGCCCCGCAGCGAATGCCGCACTCTTTCCTCCAGCAGCTCCAATCGGCAAACAAAGTTTGAAAAGAAGAAGCAAAAAGGACTTGCAAAGAAGCCCCCAGGGAGGCCGCCAGCAGCAGCAGCAGCAGCAGCAGCAGCAGCAGCAGCAGCAGCAGCAGGGACGTACTGCTTGTGCTTGTGCTTCTGCTTCGTCCGGTGCTGCAGCACCACGATTTGCTGCTGCTGCTCCTGCTGCTGCTCCTGCTGCAGCAGGAACTCCTTCGTGCGCAGCTCAGCGCGCAGCCGCCGGTGAAGGCTTCTTGCTGCTGCGTCCAGCAGCAAATGGTAGCAGCAGCAGCAAACTGCTGCAACAAGAAGAGAAAGAAGACAGTCGAAAAGCATCATATTTGCTGCCAACACCCCACAGACACAAATCGAAACAAACACAGCCCCTGGCAGCAGCAGCAGCAGCGGCGCTGCCCAGGTGTACATACACCAGAACACAAACAGCTGCGACAGCAGCAAACGCCCGTAACTGGGAGCTGCTGCTGCTGCTGCTGCTGCTGCTGCTGTTTCTGCTGCTGGCAAAGAGAGTCCCAGCAGCAGCCGCACACTGAACTCAACTCTCCCGCCCTCCGCGCTGCTGCTGCTGCTGCTGCTGCTGCTGCTGCCCCACAGCCCCTGCTGTCTGTACACCTGAAGCAGGGCCGAACCCAGCAGCAGCCGCAGCAGCAAACCCATCAAGAGACACCCCACAAAGCGCAGCAGCACTGCTGCTCGCAGCTTCCGCTGCAGCAGCAGCCAGCGGAGGCAGCTGCCCAGCAGCAGCAGCCCGCACAAGACGTCACATGCAATTTGGGCCGGCAGCTGCTGCTGCTGCTGCTGCTGCTGCTGCTGCTGTGGGGCCTCAACCCCACACGAGTCCCCGCTGCAGGGCTCTGCTGCTGCTGCTGCTGCTGCGCCACGCCCAGCAGCCTCGAAGCTCAGCAAGCTGCTGAAGGCCAGCTGGCTGAGAGCAGCAGCAGCAAAGTTCAGCAGCAGCAGCAGCACAGCAGCAGCCCACAGCCAGCGCCAGGGGGAGCGCACCCACGGCAGCAGCCGCTGCTCCTCGACCTTGGGCTGCGCAGCAGCAGCAGCAGCAGCAGCAGCAGCAGCAGCAGCAAACCGGGAAGTGCTGCACAGGGGGCCCCCCCTGGGCCCCTCGCCCGGCGTGTCCTGCTGCGGCGGCAGCGCGCTGCTGGTGCTGCTGCAGTCCGTGCTGCTGCTGCAGCAGCAGCAGCAGCTGCTGCTGCTGCTGCTCAGCTTAGCCTCCCCACACCCCGCCGGGCTGCCCCAGAAAATATCCCTCAGAGCAAAACGAAAAGCCAGAGCTGGTCTGCTGCTGCTGCTGCTGCTGCTGGGGGCCCCCAGGGGGCCCCCTGCTGCTGGGGGCCCCTCGTGGGGGCCCTCTACCCCGTCGAAGAGGTCAATTTCGAAGCTGCAGTCCGCGTCCGCCACTGCTGCTGCTGCTGCTGCTGCTGCTGCTTCCGCCTCTGCTGCTGCTGCTGCAGAGTCTGCGTAAGCCACGTCTATGAAGCCCACAGACGAAGAAGTCGAGGAGCTGCGCAGCACTCTGGCCCGCGGACGGCCAGCAGCTTTTTTATTAAATGATTTATTATTAAATGCCATTTGCTGTCCCAGTGGAGTGGGGGAGAAGGAGGGCTTTTCTGGGGTGTACGTACACCTGGTTCCCGCGCAGGACCTGCAGCAGCTGCGGCGGCTGCAGCAGCAGCAGCAGCAGCAGCAGCAGCACACCTGGTGCAGCAGCAGCGCAGCAAGAGGAAGCAAAAGCGCCAAACAAAGCCTCCTCGGCACTTCCTGTCGGGGGTTTAAAAAGGAGAAAAGTAAAAAGCGAAAAAACACGAAAAGTGGGACAAGCACACTCTGAGACGCAGCAGCAGAGCAGCAGCACCCCCTGCTGCTCTTCGATGCCGCTGCAGCAGCAGCCGAGACCGCCCAAAACAGCAGCAACTAACAGCTGCGCGCCTCCAAAAGGTATTTAATAAAGCAGTTGACGAGAAAAGAAGGAAAAAAAGAGAAAAACTGGAGAAGAAAAGAAGAAGTCCGAAGCCAGCGCGCTGCGGAGCAAAGCACGAGAACGCGGCGCCGACTCAGCTGCCGCGGCGCCTCCCAAACGCCCCTTTTGGATTTATCTAAATTAATTTGGAAATAATAATTAAAACAAATCAAAAAACAAAAATAAACTCGCAAACTAGACAGCAGCAGCACCCTGCATCGAGGGAGCACAGGCCGCTCGTGAGACAACGGAGCAGCAGAGCCCGAGAGCGGTGGGCTGCCCAGCAAAATTAAACCATTAAATCTCTAAATAAAGCATTTCTCTGTCAATAAATGCATTATTAAACCTAAAGTTCGCCAAAGGAGAGACGCAGGCACCTCCTCTTCTTGTCTTTCGCCCTCCTGCACGCGCAGCTGCTGCTGCTGCTGCTGCCGCTGCTGCGGGACCAGCAGCAGCAGCCGCAGTGGACTGCTGCTGCTGCTGCTGCTGCACGGGCTCCCTTTCCCAGCAGCTCAGCTGTACAGACACCCCCAACTGAGGTGTTAGGACTCATTAAAGTCCGAGTTAAGCACTTTTTTTAGACGGAAACAGCACAGCAGCAGCAGCAGCAGCAGCAGCAGCAGCTGCTGCTGCTGCTGCTGCTGTGCTGCAGCAGGGAGCAGCAAGGCGCTGCACGCAGTGCAGGTTTCCCAGATTTACTTGTCTTGCTGCACTGCAGCAAAATTGCAAATAAAAAAATAAATTTATTTATTTTCTGCTGCTGCTGCACCTCTGCCTCCTTCACTTTGATCTGTATACCCGCCAAAGCAGCAGCAAACCCTAAACCCTAACCCCCAAGCCCTAAACCCTAAACCCTTAAACCCTAAACCCTAAAAGCACCCGGACAGTGAAAAAGGGGGAAAAGAAGTGAAGTGTGGGGCAGCTAGCTGCGTATCTGTTGCTGGGGAGCCGAGACCCCACAGCTGCTGCTGCTAGCTGCTGCTGCTGCTACTAGCTGCTGCTGCCGGCTGCTGCCACTAGCTGCTGCTGCTAGCTGCTGCTGCTAGCTGCTGCTGCTAGCTGCTGCTGCTAGCTGCTGCTGCTAGCTGCTGCTGGCAGCCCGCCGCTGCAGCGAGCTGCTGTTGCTAGCTGCTGCAGCTAGCCGCTGCAGCTAGCTGTTGCTGCTAGCTGCTGCAGCTAGCCGCTGCAGCTAGCTGTTGCTGCTAGCTGCTGCAGATGGCCGCTGCAGCTAGCTGCAGCTTGCTGCACCTTGGGTACTCTTAAAAGCTGCAGCTGCTGCTGCAGTGCGTCTTTAAATAAAGAAAAGGCAGATTTGCTGCAGCACATTTGCTGCAGCAGCAGCTTTTCTGGAAAGTTGAATTAAATAAATATCATAAAACAGCATTTCATCTCAAGGGAAATTCAAGAGAAAAGATCTGGCAAACCGGGCGGCTTTTTGGGGCCCTTTTCAATTCACAGCTGCATGCACTACTCGCTGCATGCATGCATGCATGCATGCGTGCATGCATGCATGCATGCATGCATGCATGCACTAATAACTAGGGGCGTGCATGCACTTATGCATGCACTTCCGCATGCATGCATGCATGCATGCATGCACGCACGCGAAGGAGCATGCATGCATGCATGCATGCATGCATGCATGCATGCATGCTCCTTCGGCTACGAAGCCGCCTACTGGCACCTCAACGCAAAAACGCATGCATGCATGCATGCATGCATGCATGCATGCACGCATGCACAAGTGCATGCATGCATGCACGCATGCACAAGTGCATGCATGCATGCACGCATGCATATATACATGCAGAAATGCATGCATGCATGCATAGTTGCGTGCATGCATGCATGCATGCACAGTTGCATGCCGTGTTGCTTGCATGCACTGCTGGGGCGCAGTTTGAGGCCGCGGCTCGCCGCTGCAGGGCCCTTAGGGCTGCATGCATGCACTAATGCATGCATGCACTAATGCATGCATGCACTAATGCATGCATGCACTGATGCATGCATGCACTAATGCATGCATGCACTGATGCATGCATGCATTAGTGCATGCATGCACTAATGCATGCATGCACTGATGCATGCATGCACTAATGCATGCATGCACTGATGCATGCATGCATTAGTGCATGCATGCACTGATGCATGCATGCACTAATGCATGCATGCACTGATGCATGCATGCATTAGTGCATGCATGCACTGATGCATGCATGCACTAATGCATGCATGCACTAATGCATGCATGCACTAATGCATGCATGCACTAATGCATGCATGCAATACGCATGCATGCACTGCAAATGCATGCATGCACTTGTGCATGCATGCACTACAAAGTCCGTTAACAAAAGTCAACAGCGACCTGCTCTTTCTTTGAGGCCACGCAGCATCCGCAAAAACCCCGTCGGCTTTGTGGGGGGGGCCTCAAGCAGCCCAAAGCCGCTGCTGCTGCTGCTGCTGCTGCCGCTGCTGCTGCTGCTGCTGCTGCTGCCAATGCTGCTGCCGCTGCTGCTGCTGCTACTGCTCTCCTTGTAGGAGCTGCGGGAGAGGCTGTCACCTTGGGGAGTCGCTGCCGGAATGGCTGACGGCACCCTGGGTGCAGCAGCAGCAGCAGCAGCAGCGTCTGTCGGACGCAGGGCTGGCAGCAGAGCCTCTGGCTCTTCTGCTGCTGCTGCTGCTGCTGCTGCTGCTGCTGCTTTTCTCTCGCCTTCGTTACCTGAGCTCGAGTGGCCTTCGCTGTCACTTTGAAGCGATGCTGCCTCTGCTGCGGAATCTGCTGCTCCTGGGCTGCCGCGGCTTGCTGGAATATTAGCAGCAGCAGCAACAGCAGCAGCAGCTTCTGCTGCTGCTGCTGCTGGCTCTTCTGCACGCTCAACGCCTGCCCGCTGCAGCGGCTCTTCTTTTTGCTGCAGCCCCTCATGTCCTGCTTCCGGCTGCTGCAGCGCCAAGGGCAAGACAACATCATCTGGGGAGTACGCGGAAGCATGCTGCTGCTGCTGCTGCTGCTGCTGCTGCTGCGGCTGCTCTATGATGGGCTCTTGAGCTCCTGGAATGAGGCCTGCTCTTTGCAAGGCATCAAAGTACGCCAGCATCTCATCCACTTCAGTGACAGCATCTGCTGCTGCTGCTGCAGCAGCAGCAGCAGCATCAGACGCAGCAGCGGCAGCTGCCATGGGGCACACTGGAAGCGCTGCAGCGCCTGCAGCAGCAGCAGCAGCAGCAGCAGCAGTGTCAAAAGCTTGTGCCTCCTCCTTAATTGCTGCTTCTGGGCTGCTTCCTCGGGGCCCCACAGGGCAGCCAGCAGCATTGGCAGCAGCAGGGCGAGCAGCAAGAGGAGCAGCAGCAGCAGCAGCAGGTGTCATTCTTGCTGCTGTTGGGGGCGGGGAAGCACCCGGCGAAGCAGCAGCAGCAGCCGCAACAGGTGCAGCAGCAGCAGCTGCTGCTGCTGCTGCGGCAGAGTCCTCAGAAGACCTGCCGATGCGCTGCTGCCACCTCTGCCGAATTTTCTCCCTCCGGAGCCTCCCCATCCGTTCAACCAAATGCTGCAGCTGCTGCTGCTGCTGCTGCTGCTGCTGCTGCTGGAGCTGCTGCTGCTGGAGCTGCTGCTGCTGCTGGAGTTGCTGCTGCTGCTGGAGCTGCTGCTGCTGCTGGAGCTGCTGCTGCAGCTGGTGCTGCTGCCGCAGCTGCTGAATGCCTCCATTCTGCCGCTGCAGCTGCTGCAGGTGAAGGTGCGGCTGGCTTTGCTGCAGCAGCAGCTCTGGGACTGCAAGCTGCTGCAGCGCAGCAGCTGGCTGCTGGTACTCCAGGGTCAGGTGGTGATGGCGTTGCTGCTGCTGCTGCTGCTGCTTCGGGTCCCTCTGCCTTTCTTGCTGCTCCCTCTCTTGCTGCTGCTGCTGCTGGCGTCGGAGCTGCAGAAGTTGCCGAAGCCTTTGCTGCTGCAGCTGCTCAAGCCCCCCAGCCTTGCTATACCTATCTAAAGCGTTGCTGCTGCTGCTGCTGCTGCTGAGCATGGGGCTTTTGCTGCTGCTGGTGGCGCTGCTGCGGCTGCTTGAGATCGAGCTGCGGCGGTCAAAGTGCTGCTTCATTTGCGACGCAGCAAGGGGACGAGGGGACCTGCTGTTGCTGGTGCTGCTGCTGCTGCTACTGCTGCTGCTGCTGCTTCGGCTGCTGCTGCTGCTGCTGCTGCTGCTGCTGCTGCTTCTGCTGCTGCTGTTTTTCAAAACCCTACTGCCAGAGTTGCTGCTGCTGTGTCTGATGAGCCGCCGAGAGGCCTCGCCAGTCAGGGGCCGTTTGGCTGTCCTCTTGCTGTATCTGCTGGCGCTGTGTTCCTCGCTGCTGCTGCTGCTGCTCCTGCTGCTGCTGCTGCTGCTGCTGCTGCGCAACCGCCGGCGCGACTGCCTCCGCTGCTTCGGCTTCTTATAGTGCTGCAGCTTCCTCCTCTTGTCAGCAGCTCGAGAGACACTGCGGCTTTTAGAGGGCCTCTTGAGTCTCTTGCCTCTTTTCAGTTCGTTTCTAATGCTGCTGCTGCTGCTGCTGCTGCTGCTGTCGGCGTTTTGCTGCTGCTCAGGGGCCCTCCGCGCAGCGTGAGAGCTCCATTGGGCGCCTG